GTAATATTTGAATTATTTAAATCCAGTTTTCAAAGTACTTGTTATTAAACATCACATTGTATCCAAGGAGAAGAAAACAATCTTTCCAATTAATTACCAAATTTATTAAAGACCAACATCAAACTACATTACCGTGCGTCCACACATGTATTTATTTTCATTTTCATTTTTCTTTTTACTTTTTGTTTATATTAAATCATAAAATATATATTTTTAAATTTTTAGTGTATTATATAATTGTTAATATAAAATTTCATAAATAAATTTTTTAAAAATATTAAATATTTATAGTTTATGTTTTAACCTTCTATTGTCCGACACTGAATATGATATAAATAAATCAATGCACAATAAATTCAGTTAAATTTAACTAACATATGAATGGGTGTATTATATCAAAAGACGTTATATATTAATTTTCTAGTGGTAGAATTTGACCCCGTCAATTACTAAATATAATAATTGTATAGCTTATATTTAATATTTTTATTTTATTTTTGAATTGTCAACTGTATCATCCACATTTTTATCATATATTTGTTGTATAATATTCACCCAAATTTAAACCAATATTTTAATCTAAATTTACATAGATTTTAAAAATATATATCTTAGCATAATAGTAATCATATAAATTATAGTTTGATGAATCCAAAAACATATATATATATATCATTTTTTACATATATTTTCTTATAAATTTTAACCACTTTTTTTCAATAAATATAAATTTAATAATTGTTCATTGGTGCATGCTTCCGTGCTAGCACATAAATAATGATTATTGTAATTGATATTTATAATGTATGCATGCTTATTTATTAAGATTTATGACGAAGTGTGAAAAAGATAATGTATTAGAATTTAAATGAGTTTGTTGTATATTAGATTTAAGAAACTAATTATAAACTAGGAAAAAACAATGAATGCTTAATCTTAGGGATTATTATTTATTATTTAGTGATATAGAGCTGTAAATAAGTTATAAATTTAAAGGGTAACTAGATTTTGACCCGCGCTTTAAAAAGCGCGGGATCGTTTTTCTTTACAATTATATAAAGAAAAACATTTGTGAAATCTAATTTTTTCATAGATTTTATATTTTTATAATACATTTATAACTGCGCTGATTTTTCGTGTGTGTTTTTAAAAATGAATTTTATGTTTAGAAGTGGTATATTTTGAGAAGGATTTAAAAAGTGGTATATTTATAATTAATAAACTTAATCATAAAGTGTCAAAATAATTTTGAAGTTTATTTTATTTACAATTTTAACTTACTATAAAATATTCTATTTGCAAATTTGATACATGTTTATGTTTTATTTATACATATTTTAATGTTTCAGGAAACTAAAATTTATATTAACACTTGAATCTAATAATGAAACTAAAATAAAATAAAATGCAAGGTGTTTAACAATATGAGCTTAATTATGTCTAAGAACACACTATAGATTGTTTCAGTTAAGATGAAATTCATATTTAAACTCGCCCCAAATGGCCAAATATATTTAAATTTTGTACTAAGAAAACATGTAAAACCGTTCAGATTTACAAAAAGAAAAAGAAAGTTGCAGAAAAAATGGTTTCGATGTTTCTTTGAGAAGAAACGTGATTATGGTGGAGAAACAAAAGCTCGAAGAATTTTGTTCTTGAAGGTGTATAGTCGAGGCACGGGTCAAGATCAAATATATTGCTTGAAGACTAAAAAAACGCATGTTTTGAATTGAAACTAGACAAAAGTTTGAGTTTTTCCTTTTCACTGTGTCAATACAGTATAACCTCTATAAATTAATACTAAAAATCTCTATAAAATAATATAATTTTTTGTCCTAAATTGAGTTTTTGGTAAAATAATGTAATTTGCATAATAAAATACATTTTGCGGTTTTGCTTGTCGTAGTGGTGCGAAATTAGCTACGGTTATATTTTCAGGATTAGACTAGTCGATCTAAATTTATTAAATAAAGAATATATTCTTAGGAATATACACGATTAGTTTTGAAAGTTCCTAGATTATTGGTGTGATCAAAACGTTTTAAATTGCCTAAATATCTGAATGATAAATGAAAAACAATATTATGGTTAGTTGGTGTGATAAAAATCTTGTTAAATTACCTAAATATTCTAATTAATAGGTGCACAAATTTTAGGGTTCGAATTCGGCTCCTTGAAACCATAGATTTCCTTTGTATTAACTTTCTGAAATATAGGGATTTGAATCCAAAGGATTATATAGTGTAGTTAATGGCTTATAATATTTCCAAAATTATTCTGAACTAATAAATATGTAGAGTTGCTATGGAAGTTACTATATTTTTTTAAAGAATTTTTTAAGATACTTCAATTTTGTTGGTAACAATTTGTTTTTCTTTTAAGAAGTTTAATTTCTTACTCGATTCCTTAATTAATATATAGTAAATTGTATTTTCATTTGGTTAAGAAATCTATACTTTTAAGTCTAATAATAGACTGCAAAAATTATCATTATTGTAAAACTCTATAAAGAATAATATTAGTGGTTTCGTGACGTTATCATTTGTTATGTGAACTTACAGTGTAACAATAATAATTCAGTTATCTGTTCTTTAATTTTAGCTTTATAAATATGGTTTAGGGTTTGTGTGAGGGGCATAGAATCAAGAATTTAGGGAATATAATATGTATCGTTGTTTGGTGTGTTTCAGAATAAACTATTTTACAATATATTCGTATAAAATTAATAATACTATGGTTACAATTAGTTTATAATCGATGAGTGGAAAAAAGTCGTAGGTTCAGCTATTTAAAATGGTTTTTTAAAAAGAGAATAAAACGTAGATATTAATTGCATGCGAGTAAGTTATAAATATTCACACAACAATTTTAATTAAAAATTAATGATTAAAAAGAGAATCTAATGAAAATATCTATGAAAATTAAGGGTAGAATCTAATGAGGATTCTGTTTTAATACTTCCCTCTGTTTTATAATAAGTGTCGTTTTAGATTTCGGCACACGGATTAAGGAAACAATTAATTTTACATATTTTCCATATAAAAACACAATTACCTATACACCTAACCTTATTTCAACCAATAGAAAAATATATTACAGAATAAAATTAATAAATTTTACATTGAAAACCGAAAACGACACTTAATTTGTAACAAAAAATTCTCTCTAAAACGACACTTAATATAAAACGGAGGGAGTAGTATAGATTTTTATTTATATTTCTAGTTTAATAATATAGATAAATTATCGCTATTCATCTTTGATTATTGTGTACTTCAATGATTTCTGCTTTGTACCCACTTGTCTTCTTACCCAAAAAGGAATATCAATAATAATTCGTTATAACGTGTACGAATAAGCATATTTTTTGTTGGACAAGACATTGTACTAAATAATTTTTAATTATTTCCATTTTCATGAGATTAATTAACGTGTATAGCATAAAGGTCATTTGAAAAATGTAATTGTACTTTAGGTTTTAATATCAAGTTACCAATAGAAAATGAGTACATATTCCCTATAAAGATTTAAAATAAGAAATAAACTATACCTGATATTGAATCTGTTCTGCTTATTATGAGTTACAACATTTACACAAACTACTGCGAGCACATGAGGAAACTAGATTTTAAAACGGAGATAGTATCCATCATCCAGTTCTAAAAATATTATAGTGTCAATAGAAAATAACAAAGAACATAACATTTTACCAAAAAAAAGAAGAAGATCATAACGCTCGATAAAAAGGAGAAAAAAGAATAATATAAATATAAGAAATGTGGGGACTCGCAATTGGTGAAAATTGTCGTCCCTCCATGGAGGATCACATTCTTTCAAGTTTCAAACTTCAAATCATTAGTGTCTTCTAGAACCCAAGTGGTTAAAGATTCCATCTTATTGCACAAACATGCAAAGAAAGCATATCTCTCGATTTTATTAAGATCTATTGCCCAAGGAAAACAAAGTCTTCCTTAGAAATAAACCTACTTTTTTGGTAATTAAAATAAATAGACCTACTTATTACAAACACCTATTACCACAGGTCCACAATGATCAAAATGCATGCACCAGACGATATCTTACTCGACAGTAACTACATGTATATCCACAAGCACATACATGTAAAATTGTAACAAATCTAACTCAATTGCCAAACAATAAATCAACAATGTTTCTTCTGTTTTTCCATTGAAAAATTTAATCTTTTTTCACTTTCAAAAATAAAAAATATTTTGATATGTTACCAATCAAAACTAGTGTTAAAAAAACTGGAATTTTCAACTTGTTGGCCGTGGTGACAAAAAAGATAAATTCATTCACAACCCTTGTTTGTTAAATAAAAATAATATATAGTTTCATATATTTCAATACGTTTATTACATATAGAAATAACTGCAAGGCTTATCAAGATAATTAAGAGTCAACAACCCTTGGTACATATTGGATAAACTTAAAGTAAAAAAGAAAGAAGAAGCTTAAATGGCTTCGATCTTAGGTTAGACAGACAAATCTACCTAATTATTATTGTGATTGTAAAATAAAACATAAACTGTTATTTGGAATGTGCTTCTAACTCAATTGCCAAACAATAAATCAACAATGTTTCTTCTGTTTTTCCATTGAAAAATTTAATCTTTTTTCACTTTCGAAAATAAAAATTATTTTGATATGTTACCAATCAAAACTAGTGTTAAAAAACTGGAATTTTCAACTTGTTGGCCGTGGTGACAAAAAAGATAAATTCATTTACAACCCTTGTTTGTTAAATAAAAATAATATATAGTTTCATATATTTCAATACGTTTATTACATATATAAATAACTGCAAGGCTTATCAAGATAATTAAGAGTCAACAACCCTTGGTACATATTGGATAAACTTAAAGTAAAAAAGAAAGAAGAAGCTTAAATGGCTTCGATCTTAGGTTAGACAGACAAATCTACCTAATTATTATTGTGATAGTAAAATAAAACATAAAATGTTATTTGGAATGTGCTTCTCATTTGTTCAGACCGGTCTTTTCCTTAATGGTCTCACTCGCACCCTGTGCCTTCTGCTTCAGCTGCTGTCCACCCTGTACTCGATCGCATTCTCATGAATACATAATTGTTTGTCCAAAAAAAGTATTTAACAGAATAAGAAAATAAAATAGACCTCTTGGAGAGATTCCTTAGCAGATTGGGCAGCATTGGAGGCCTTGTCCATCAGGTTGCTTGCTTTCTCCTACAACAGTTTTAATTACTTCTGGTTAATATTAATTGTTAACCTAACCCAATTCTTACAAATACTTATTTAAGCTTGTCATATAGAAAAACCTGGGTCTGGCCTTTAGCTTGACCAGCGTTGAAGCTCATGCTCTGGCTGTTGCTAGACATTTTTTCAGAATAAAAACTTGTAACTTGATTATTTAACTGCTTTGGTAATTGTGACTTGTGAGGAAATAACATTACGCATAGAGGTTTATATAGCTGGGGGATATCATGTCGTCACGTAGATTATGTGATTGGGTGTCTGTTTAGTCTTTGACACTTGGCGTTTAAAGCTTAGTAGTCTCCGGTCCGATGAGGATGTTTTGACCACGAAACAAGCAAATCCGTTATAGACTTGTTCCAATGTACTAATGTAGTTTGAAGTGATTTTTGTGTAAAACTCATTTTATTTTGGAACTATCTATTATTATGGGTTTATTAGCGTAATAACCATACTAGATTTTGAACCCGCACATCCATGCGGGTATATTTTTCATTTTATAAAAATTTAACAAAACCTTTCAAATATATATGATTTACATTCTATCGTTATATATTGTATAATTTTATAATCTTATAATTTTAATTATTTTTATAAAATATATTGTTGTAAGTTTTAAAATAAAAAAAATATTCATATTTTTTTTATATATATTTGTTGTGAGTTACAAAAATATATGTTAACATTTTTGTATAAAAATATTATATGATTTAAAAACTTTAATATGTTTTAAAAGTGAGTGATATTTATTTATTTATTTGAATAAAACAAATTTTTTAAAATAAAATATTTTCCTTTCCCAATTTAATATATTTTATATTCATTTCACATAGCATTTTATTTTAATATAGTGTAGAATATAAGTAAATTATGAAATATAACAATTTTTATTTTAATTAAAATTAATATCAATATTTATATATATATATATATATATATTAATCACGAAATTAAATAATGCATATTTTAAAAAAATATTTAAACTTCTTAGTAAGATCTTGTTAGATATTTTCTCAACAAATTTATTACTAATATCTTATTATTATTAAAATATTGCTCCAATTATATATATTTGATTGATTAATATATATACTTAAATATGTCATATTAATGAGATGGTCCAACATAACTTTTTGTAGTAGATATAAATGGTACTTCTCTTTTAATAGAGAAGAATGAAATATAACAATTTTTATTTTAATTAAAATTAATATCAATATTTATATATATATATTAATCACGAAATTAAATAATGCATATTTTTAAAAAATATTTAAACTTTTTAATAAGATCTTTTTAGATATTTTCTCAACAAATTTATTACTAATATCTTATTATTATTAAAATATTGCTCCAATTATATATATTTGATTGATTAATATAAATATTTAAATATGTCATATTAATGAGATGGTCCAACATAACTTTTTGTAGTAGATATAAATGGTACTTCTCTTTTAATAGAGAAGATTTGAATGATAAATTAGGTGAATAACATTGATCTTAACATAATTCAGTATCAGACATTTGAGTCATATTTTATCCAGTTCTACCTCTTCACTTAAAAGGTTTACGGTTTCAGTTTATAAATGAAGTGACATAGATTTTTGTGGCTATTAAGAATCACATAACATAACGGTATGTAACATGTGTCTCAGCTGTATTTAACACATGTTTTATCGGTATTCACCAAAATGAGTAGATAATAGTTGGATGCACTACAGAAAATATGTTAACGTCTCGGAGAATGAAAAGCTCAGGCATTGCTATTCTATATTGCAAATAGTATATAAAAGATCACTATATATAGGTCAATACGAACTTAATGTACGTATGCTTCACAAATGGCAACCTAATATATATAAAACTAAATCTTATCAACTAATCATTTAACCTAACACGAAAAAATAAAATTTAATCTCACTAAACCCAACGCGGGAATATAAACTCTATCGCAAATTCCGAAATGTTAGTAAACTGCATTTCCATTCTACATGAAACATATATAATAGAAAATGTGAAAATGTAGATATAAGAGAAAGACCATCTAAAGTATTTCTCAAATGTTGATAAGTTTGTACCTTTACAGGAGGTGGCAATGCTTGACCCAATATTAACCCCAAGTGTACATAAACTAGACCTCATCAAATACTCACTTAACCCTACATAAAAGTATATACCCTAATCTAAATATGAAAATATGAAAAATAGGAAATATTAGTTAATTGATAAAATAAGTTATGTGATAGTAACCGTACAATAAAGAACTAGAATGACAAGAAATTGCAGTTCCATTCTACGTAGGATATAATAGAACTAGAGAAAATGTAGTTGCAATAGTAAGAGCATCTCATTAATTTCTCAATTTTTTGAGATGACTAAGATTGAATGATATTAGTTAATGATTTTTTCAATGTCAACCTCAATCTTCCAGAAACTAAACCCAATCTAATAATCACTAAATCGTACACGAAAATATAAAGTCTAATCCAAATATAAAAATAGGAAAATATTAAATATTAGTATGATTAAAAGCTAGAGTAATTGATATTAAACCGGCTAATTAAAACATAAATGCGAAAAAGATGTGTTTCCATTCTACGTGATTCAAATAAAATAGAAATATGAAAATTTTCTTTTACATAATAATTATGTTATATAGAAACTGACGTGTGTGGATGGGAGCCGCAATGACGTATTTGATGGAATTAATGACTAGTAGTGTTTAACAGCTATTCCATATGAAAGAGTAGGAGGGAACCACGTCGTAGAGAACCACGTCGTGTATTTTTTTTGCTTCAAGTTTCACCGGTTGCAAGAAGCGACAATATATTATTATTACATAAAACTAACGCTGTGTATAGAAATGTTAGGGAAATTAGTTATGAAGTGAATTATGTGTTTTTTGAGCGACACAGGGTCCAATTTCCCTTAAAAGTAGGTATGTTTATAGATGTTTGGACTTTAACATGAACGTTGGATTGATGGTAAATATATTATAAGTGTTCGATGTACAGAAGGAGTTGTGGTAAGGTTTAAATTAATTTGGTGTGGTCAGGATAGTAAACATACTATTCTTTTTCTTTTACACAGTTGACAAGTTTTGTAGGTGAGACGATAAACCGAGTATGTTAAATAATAAGTCGTCAAAGAAAGTGGTTTGGGTGTAATGTAGGGACAATTAGAAGATGTGGTTGTCAGTAAATTAAGCAAGCCAACACAGTTGTTTTTGTGGTCAAATACGTGTGGTCAGACGTGGTTAATGCCTGATTAGGGTATAAAGTGGTTAGTTTGGTTAGTATATTGGTGTGGTTGTGTGAAGGAGGTGTTAATGGAAGTTTGGTCAGTGTTGTTTATAACATGTGGTCATGAACCATATGTGGTTAACGCTATATTCGCCGAGGGTGAAATGAGATCAAGAAGCTAATGTATTAATAAGTTAATTAAGATTACAATAGCCAAGTTAAGGGTACCACTTAGTTTTGGAGAGATCTGGGTTGTCGTGGGACTTTTCAACGAGAGAATAGAATGACGGAAGTAGTGGTGTGTCTTCATCGGAGACACCGTGGAATGTTACGCGAACGGTTCTATTACCTTCGATGTATCTTCGATGGTGTATTGACCAGTTGCCGGCGAGATTAGAAAGAGATTCAGTGTCTAGGGTTTCAATCGTTAGACATTGGGGTAATGAGAAAAGGTTTCGAAGGGGTAAAGGGTCTCTCGGTTTGTATCTCTTCTAATTAGAGGATAATTTAGGAAATTACAGATAGAAGTCATTGACATGCTGGAATTATGTTAAAGTAATCAAGAATTATTGAAAAGTATGTTAGAATGTATTTTTTTTTCCTAAAACAATTATACCACTTCACTTATATTTGTCCAGCTGAAATAAAAATTATATAGAATCAATCGGGGGCACGTAAGCTTCACTATAGATTGTACCAAAACCACTTTGTTATGTTGCATACACGAGCTTTTGTTCAAAGAGAAACTAGTGGATGGACCATCCGCGAGATGAATCAAACCGTAAGGTACCTTTTGCGTGTAGAAATTATTAGAGACAAAGTCTCTACATAGGAAGTTGGAAATGATCTTAAATGATATAGAGATGGATCAATCCAGTTATCACTAATTGGTCTTAATTAGGTTGGAAGTCCATTTACCTTAATATGGTATTAGAACCCAATCCAAACAGTCTAATCCGATCTATCGATCCAGCCAAGGTTGACCCATCGATTCTTTGTTCGAATATTCTGAGATTGACGTTCAAACAATCATCATCTCGAAGAGGCGTATTAGAGACATAGTCTCCCACATCAGATTTTGGAAAGTGATCTTATATCTATTATATAAAGAAGAGCATCCTTCCCTCTAAGGCATGCCACATAGGCTGACACATCATAAAGTCCACTTAGACTGATTTTTTTGGGCCAGTAATCTTTGGTCTTTGCACGAGTTTTTGTGTGAGTTCTGGAGACCCTCTCTCTTCCGTTTAGAGAGAAAAAAACTCTCAACGTTTCTCTTAACAAAATTTGATCATTCAGAGGGATCATGAGTTTTTTGTTTTTGTCTGTAAGATATTTGATCAACTGATCGATTTAAATATCCGGTTGCGGAATTTCTCTACGTGTTGGCTAACTTTGGAAGTGCTTCTTCACCAATTTCGAGCATAGCCTCAGTTTCATCTCTTTCTCTCAGTTTGATTGAAGATAATAAGTCTTGATCTTGATACCAGATATGAGCTTTTTGTTGTGCTCATCACCAGCCTTTCACAGCTTTGTTCTTCAACACCGATTGATTATTGATCGGGAACTTATTTCACCAAATCATCTGAACCTCTTTTTAGGAGAGTCAATCTTTACCTCTCTTTATGAGCCGCTAATATAGTGTATTGGGTAAAGTATCTCTAATAAAAGATGGTAAGATTTGACGGATTTCTGGAATTATTCTTGAAGAAGGTTTCCGGTTCTGCAATGATTTGCTTTTGGTGATTTCTCGATTTGTTTTGTCTGAAACATAGTTTCTCTACGGTTTGATTCTCTGTATTGGTACAAAGGTTTGATTTTTATGAAGGGACATTATATAAACTGATGTGGATGTTTGGTTTTTATGGGTTTTGCAGGAT